TTTTAATATTTATTGCTGTTTTATTGTGAACCGCCCAGAGTCATTTTTTGTGAGATGGGCAATATCTAAATTTGAAATATAAAATAAAATAAAATAACGTTTTTTTCTTATTTTGTTATAGTACTGTAATATGAAATTGCATGTATTTTATCAACTTAGTTTTATTCTGTTATGGGGATGCCTATAATTCATTGCTGACTCTCCCTTTGATTTTCTGCTCAGTAAGGGACAATCCCCTGTGTTTGCTCTTTTAAAATACCAGTATATTATATTGCTTAGAATCGCAGATATAAAGAACAGTTAAGGTATTATTGGACACTTATCAACCTAAGTTCAAAAATACTATTTTGATTTGTTTAGATCACACAGTGGAAAAGCCAAACAAAAGAGAACAAAACTGGGCCTTCATTTCCACATGACTCTGCATATGGTAGTGGAAATTTTAGTGCTTTAAAATCTACTACCAAGCCTATTGGATCACAGAATTCAGTGAAAGAGGTACTGTAAGGTTTTTTTTTTGCTTGGCAAAGTGTGTCTCTCTTAAAATTTTGAAAAATTAAATTGAAAAACTGAAACTATGTTAACTACAATGCTACTGTCTAAACAAGAACATTGTCTTTTTTGCCACTCATTACATTTAATTTTCTTTTTCTCCTTAGTGTAATCGGTCAAATTCCTTATCTCCAGTTGATAAACTCGGCCAGCCTCGCTTAACCAAATTAACACGAACACGCACTGATAAGAAGAGTGAATTTTTGAAGATGTTGAAACGGGATCCAGTGGAAGAAGAACACGATGGAAACTGTGTTGAGCAAGAGAAGGTACAGCAAATTGTGCAGGGAATATGTTTTTCATTATTTATTTTTCTGTCATCTCTAAGGAAGTTAGGGTGCCTAATAGTGTTTATTATGTGATAAAACATTTAACTATCACATAATAAAGCGTTAAAGCAGAATACAAACCATAAAGAATAGCATCAATAATAAACAACTCCAGTTAAATGTTAAGTAATAAAAAGATAACATCTGCATAATATCAGTAATTAGACATAAAGCATTATGGTTGCAGTCCTTTGTGGAATGTTGTGGCAGTGAGCCACAATGTTTCTGACCAAACATCCTTAGCACTGTGATGTTTAGCATCCACATAATAGTGGGTGTGTTAATTAGCAGCATATGTGTGATTTTACTTAGTCAGTTAACCTAGCCTTTAGCTCAGGGGTCCTTGACTTTCTTAAGCTAAAGTTTTGAAAGCATGTTGTAAGCATTCACAACGGTTGTAAAAGCAAGCAGCAGTACTGCTTAGTTTTGTCCTTTTTTCTGTGCTGATGAGCATACTTCTGAGAAAGCTTATGGGGTCTCTTTGGAGCTCAGAGGTATTTTGTACATAAAAACAATGAAGAATGTGAAGTGGTGAAGAGAAACTGATGGAAAAATAAAAAGCAAATAGGGTTAGCACATGTAATTGCTATATTAATGATCCCAGCTTTAGCAGAATAATAAATTGTCCTTTGCCAGACATTAGTAACCTAGTTTTGGGATATTCAAGTAAAAACAGTTAAAACAATTATGAACTACTTTGCTTTACATTTGGTATCAGAATGTTTAGCAGAAAGTTCTTTGTAGAGGTATGTGATATTCACATATAAAGCAGGGAAGGTGCTTTTGATCTGGTGTGAGTGCCATTTCCTTACTGCTTGCTGAATTCAAACACATATTTTCCTGGGATTGCACAGTGATTGTGCAAGACCAGGAAAAGACACAGTTTCTTTAAAGTGTTGCTATTGGATATAGCAAGGACATGTATGCTGGGTCTAAAGCATTTTCCCACATCCAGTCCAAATATCTGCACATTCCTAGAGACAGAGTTTAGCCTTTCCTAATTTTGGCATTTTCCAGATGTATGAATTTGTCTACAACTTACTGTGTGTAAATCTTTTTTTTTTTCTTTTTGGAATTTACTCAGATATGTGACTTCTTTAACAGGACGATGATGATGATGAATTTAATTTACATAACAGCAACAGTGGCCACCAAGGGAGGGACGTAAACCGAAATTTTGAAAATGATATTCCTCAGGAGAATAGAAATGCTGCAATAACTCAGCAGATGATCCAGTCTTCAGCATTTCCACAGACTGATGTCCTTTCAAGTTCACTTGAGGCAGAACATCGGTAAGTATTTTGCTTTTATTAAAAGCATTTTAATCATTGGCAGGGGAAGGAAGGTGGTTAAGGTTTATTATACAGGATTAAGTTGTTTTAATAGGAGTCAAATCATTTTTGATACAGGATTTCTTATGGAACACAACTTAATCAAATAGAAATGAGCAATAATTGCAGATGTCTAAAGCGTAGTATAAAAAATATTTAAGTAGCAATTAGCAGCTGGAGGGAAAAAAGGGGAGGGGCTACTAGAATGCTTTTTTCTATAATTTTTTTTCTTTTCCTTTTTTTGGTTTGTTTTGCCTTTCTAAATTATTTTTATAATCATATTTTTATTTCAACTTCAGCATGAAGTTTATTTTATGTATGTATATATATCCCTTTCCATTGTTTTTGCTTTTTTTGTTGTTTGTTTTACCTAATTAATAAAAATATTAAAAAGGCATAATCTTCTATAGTCTTCTGGAGAACAGACAGACATGTAAACTCAGCCTTGTTTTTCTGTGGGACATAATTTAAAAATATCCCATTTATTAGAATAATTTATCTTCTTTATATACATTGTTATTTTAGTTGGTTATTTCATTTTTTTAAAAAAATTCAAGATGAACAGAAACTATATGGTCCAAAATAGGATCAGGAGTCTGCATTTTTCTTAGTTCTGAGCATAATGTAATGCTTCATAAAATAATTTATTAGAATATTTAAAAGAACTAAATCCCTGATATATAGTTCAGTTTACTTATGGACTGCTCCATAGAAATAAAGAGTAGGGGTGGGGGAGGGTTTCCTACAATCTGTCTTTGAAAAAATAAGAAGAAATGGTTATAAATACTTTTGAACTATGTGTTTAACATGAGGGAGAAAATATCAAGCCAGAGAAGCAGATGTACTTTTCTACAGGTCTATGAATTTTTAAGGATTTTCCCCAAGTAGAAAAGTCTTGCAAGTAAATGTAACTGTCCCTCTTTCAGGTAACTGAATTCTGAGAACCATTATAGAGTATTCCATAGGCCTCAGACTAGTACATACATCTAATATGTAATATGACTCTCAGTTCATCTTATCTCACAGAATTGTTACGGTAGAGATAAATTGGAAGAGGGAGCATTGTGTAGGCCACCTTTAGCTTCTGATCAAAAGGCAGGATATAAATGTAATAAAAAATATTGATCGTTCTCCCTTTTTTAAAAGGTTGTTAAAGGAAATGGGTTGGCAGGAAGACAGTGAAAATGATGACACTTGTGCCCCACTAACTGAGGATGAAATGAGGGAATTTCAGGTCATTAGTGAACAGGTAAGATAAATTAGCACAAAATGTGTGATCAGAGTGAAACATTTTCTTGCGCAAAGTATAGACTAGAATACCTATTTAATATTTCCTAAAGTAATTTCTGTATCCTGTTGATGGTATAACATTGCAGGTTTCAAAAGCCAGTGATGCCTGATCTATTGTATTTTACACGTCTCATTGTGAAATTCTATAAGGGTTCACACACATTGCTGAATTATATTTCAGCAGCACATGAGCAAGCTGAGAAAAAGCCATTGACTTCCCCTTCCTCTGACATATACCAGGGTTCAGTTTCACTAGATCTCATTCCAGTTATTTCTTCGCATGTGGATCAGGAGGATTAATTTTAGATGAACCTCTAGTTAATTGCTACATAAACCAATTTCAGACCATGAGGAGGAGAGAGGAAGAAACAAAGTTTCTGCTTGCATGTTACAGTAAATCAGTAATGGGCAATCTTTTAGTAGCCTGGCAATTGCACCTAAAATGCATATTTGGTGACAGAGAACTAGAGTAGATAGAGCAGTGAATGTTACAAGGCTCTTGTAGGATTGCTTGATTTTGAGGACAGGCTTTGGGATTTTTTAAAATTAAGTCTAAATAAAAGTATACATACAGTCATGTGAAAAAGTAAGTACACCCCATTGAAATTTTAACTTCTTCAACATATTTCAATGTACAGATATTTGATCTTCATTTCGACAATATTGATAGATAAAGCGGATAAATATAACAAATATCGTAAACCATTTACATTTTGCAGTCCAGTGTATAATTTAAATAAACATAAATGCAAATTTTGCATGTGGAAAAAGTAAATATACCCTACATTTATCACTACGTCAAATACCTAAAACTGGAATCAGGTGCACCAGATCAGGTGCAAATGATTAGAATATTGTTAGAGTGGATCTGGGAGGAACTTGTCTAATTTAAACCCCAGCCATTTAGTTTGATTTGCTCTTTGTTGTGGAAGTGTGTGGTATCACCATGCCTAGATCGAAAGAACTCTCTGAGGCATTCAGAAAGAAGGTTATAGATGCCTATGAGTCTGGGAAGGGATTTAAGAAGATCACCAAACAATTGGACATCAATCATCATACAAGTGGAGAAGATTTAAAACAATTGCCAGCTTGCCCAGGCCAGGCCATCCCAGCAAGTTCAGCCCAGGAGCAGAATGCAAGATGCTGAAAGAAGTCTCTAAGAACTCCAGAATTTCATCATGTGATCTAGAAGTAGCTGTCACTACTGTTGATGTCAATGTCTACCATTAGAAAGAAGCTGTACAAATTCAATCCACGTGGGAGGTGTGCCAGGAGGAAACCTTTGCTGACCATCAGGGCAAGACTAAAGTTTGCTCATGAACACCTAGGCAAAGACCAGGATTTCTGGAATGATGTGCTCCGGACAGACAAGCCACAGCACCAGAAGACATAGTTGGCGAAAACCAAAGATCTCATTTTATCAGAAGAATCTGGTGATGGGAATGTTATAGTTTGGGGCTGCTTTGCTCATCAGGGCCTGGGCAGCTCATCCTCATAGAATCTGCTATGAATGCTTCATTGTACCAGAGGGAGTTTGAGGATAATGTGAGACCATCTGTCACAAGATTGAAGTTCAACTGAAAATGGACCTTGCAACATGAAATGATCCCAAACATTCCAGTAAATCCACCAAGGAATGGCTGGGGTGGGGTGGGGGAAATAATGGAGGGTTCTGGAATTGGCAAGTCAAAGTCTAGATCTAAATCCTCTTGAGATGGTGTGGGGTGATTTGACATGGGTTATGCATGCAAGAAACCCCTGAAACATTTCACAGTTGAAAAAAATCTTAATGGAGAAGTGGGAGAAAAAAAAATGAGTTGATATTAGAGACTGGTAGAAAGGTATAAGAAATGACTACTTGAGGTTGTTTCTGCCAGAGGGAGCAATACCAGGTATTAGAGCCAAGAGTATACTTACCTTTTCCACAAAAGAAAATGATATATCTGTTAGTTTTTGTTGAATAAATGTTTGCAAAGTCAGTTTTTCATAGTTTTTGTTCAATTATATCATCTTTATATACTATTTGAATGAAGATAAAATATTATGTCCACATATGTTAAAAAATAAAAAAAAAACTTTACATAGGGTGAACTTTTTCATATAACTGTACCATGCTTTTTGCCTTGGGCGGTTGCACTACTGTTACCAGCAATTTGCTGCTAACATTCACTGTAATTTAATGAATTCATTAAGGTAACTTTTAAAGAAACCTGAAAAAAGACATAGCTGTCTTAATCAATAGGAGATAGTGTAATGCTTTTTCAAGATGCAAAGTACCATTTTGTAACCATTTTTGAAGTGTGCACAACCCTATTACAAGGAAATATAGTCATTAATTTGAAATGCAAAATATAATAGTTTAGCCTCTCAACTAACTATTCAGTATGGTGGTTAACATTCCATTTTGCTTGCTCTGCCATTCTTCCTTTCAACTTCTGTAGCAGTTAATTGTTCTATCCCTATCCCATTAGGCTTTCTCTAGTGCCTGTCCCATGTTAAGCTAACAATAGCAATGGAGATTGTTATGTTTGTTATGACAAACAGAAATGAAAAGAAAAACCAGGTATCCATGTAAGTTTTATTGCCACTTTCCAGGTTCAAAACAAGTGAGCTACTTGCCCCCCCCCACAGCTGAGTCTTTTTACCTACTCAACTACTTTAATTACAATTTACTCCCACATTTTTTCCCATCTGGTCTGACTTAGGACTTAGAACTTACATCTACCCTTGTGAAATTTCCTTTTGATTCATTAAACTTGAGGTTGCCCTTGTGTATTTCAACCCTTGCCCTTCCTAGCAAGATCAGAAGAAGAGTAGTGGTTATCGTTCCTTATTTGAATGGGTTTTTTCAATTTTGTACACTAGAAGGATGTTTTAATTCCTATATTCAGCCCTAAGTGAAAAAACTCTCCCTAAATCTTGGCTTACCGCATAATAATCAACAAAATACTTACAAACATTCACAGATGCTTAAATTAAAAATGGAAGTACAAGTAGTCCCCGGGTTAAGAACACCCAGTCTACAGATGACTCATAGTTAAGAACAGAGCCTATTGTAGCAAAATTTGATTTAAAAATGCGGCGATTTGAATTAAATATGCAATGGTTTGAGTTCATTACACAATACTACTTATACAGTATTATATAATAATGCTGTTCCAGCTTACATACTAATTCGACTTAAGGACAGACCTTGGGAACGGAACTTGTTCTTAAACTGGGGACTACCTGTACTAAACTGTGCTATTCAAAATATATCACGCTATATTTTGTTGCCAAGTATAAAACTAAACAGATCAAGATACCTTTGCCATTTTAGGACTGCTAATCCTATTTGTTTTCCATTTCAGTTACAAAAAAATGGCCTTAGAAAAAATGGTATTCTAAAAAATGGCCTCATCTGTGACTTCAAGTTCGGTCCCTGGAAAAACAGCACTTTCAAAGCAACGCTTGAAAATGAAGATACAGAGACAAGCAGCAGTGACACATCAGATGATGATGTGTGAAGAGTTGAAGATTTGTATTGCATCTCATACAATTTAAGAAATGTTGAAAAAGGAGAACTATACTCTTATGTAGTGATATGCACCAGTAGAAGGAGGATCTTTGGGACTCCTCATGAAGGAACCTAAGATTGTTGTGCTAATGAGCTGTGTTGAACATGATTTTTAATTTCTTTGTAAATGGATGTTGTAGAAATGAGAACTTTTTCCCACATTGCCTTTCTTCATCACTGCAGCATTTCTCTGACTAGCAATGTGACAATGTAAGAGAATGAGATTTTCTCATTTAATAATAATAAAAAAGATTATGTAATATTTGGCAACGTTTTGTCTTAAAACTGTGCAGGCGTAAGGGATAAAATGGCAGCTTGACTCAGTATGTTGCTCACTGAGGCAGATTTATTTTACAGTGGAAATTTCTAGTGTTCACTTTGTGCACAGACAATATGCAGAGTAGCATGTCTGCTAAAAATGACAAAAGTGCACTAAAACATCTATTTCTTGAACTGTTACAGTTCCACTTCTTGAAACATAGCAGTAATTCTCTAGCAGTTTATACTACAGTAATTATGAAAAGACTTGCTTCAGTTCCAAACTTTACGGAAGTGGTGTAAATCAAAAGCTTTATTTGGATGCTGACAGACCCAGGAATTTGGATCCTCCACAATGGGTGCTGATCCTTGTGGGGAAAATAAACATTATTTTGATAAATTACTCAGATGCAGAAAGTTTATTTCTTGGGCTGGATCTATCCAGCATGTACAAAATAAAAACTCTTAGAATCTGGGAACATTCCACTGAATATGCTTATGTAAATAATCCTTTATTCAAGATAATTCTTTTTTTTTTTTCAGTCTTGACTGGTTTGTGTTGCTGCACAACAAGTAGGTTTGTTCTTCTGAATCTAACATAGAACACTAGCTTCCTGATTAGGTGTATAGAATCCAGCAGTAAAGATGGATGCAGTATCTTTCCCTATAAATTTTATATAATGCGCACTACGTGGTTTGCTATCCAGTCTCAGCTTTTATATGGAAAGCAGAGTCACTTTGTGGAAACTTTATAAAAGTTAATAACTTGCCTATAAACCCTTGCAACAGTTAAGATTTTTGAAAAATGAATTGTCTGATTCAGCTATACAAAGCAATACTTTCTCAGAAACCAGAGCATTTTCTCTTGAAAGAGCTGCTCTTTGAGAGATACTAGGTGGAATGAAGAAGAAGAGCTCTGGATGAAATAAAAGCAGAATAATGGCTGGAAAAAATGAGGATGAGATCATGATTGCATAACATGGCTAGAAAGAAAAAGGTAGGTGCAAAGAGAACAAGGAAGAGTTAAGATTGAAATAGGCAGAGAAAATGCAGAGCAATTTTGATGGAAAGAAAACATTGTTTAGGAAGTGAGTGAAGAGGGCTATACAAGGAGCCTCCAGTGAAAATGGAAACGAAAATGGTGAAATGCTTTAGGATAAACTCAAATGAAGGAATATTGGAAGAAGTACTTGAGAGATTTATATGGATGCGTATGATGTAAATGTTAGCATCCAAGAAAACTTTTCTTGAAAAGGAAGTATAAATGCTGGTGAGAACATTGAAAAAAAATGTTAAGTCTGCAGATGTAGATTATGTAACCAGAGTAATATATGTGGTTTGTTTATGAAATGGCTGTGTGTGTGTGAGGCAACTGTATCTGTGTCTCATCATTGGAAGAATGCAGTTATTGTTTCCCACACACAGGGAAAGGTGTGAATACAAAAACTACAGGGCATTAGTTAAGTGTCCTGGGAAGCTGTTTGGCAAAATCCTCCAAAAGATACAAGAGGTGACAATGAGCAAAACTTGGGTAGTGCAGTGTGGTTTTATGCAGGGATGTGTAGGGGAATTTGACAGGTTATTGAATCCCCCCCCATCACTGCAGATCCCTATACGATAAAGTTTATTGTATATTTGTTAATGTAGAGAAAGTATATAAAAAGTCAATAGGCTTGAATTGCGGAATACTTTGTGAGAGTAAGGAGACTGGTTGCTGAATGAGTAAGAGTGGTTTGTGATGGAAGTAAAGCACATGTGAGAATAAATGGAATGCTTAATGTTTAACACTGAGAAGGAATCTATGATGTCATCTTGGTGGTTTAATGTATGAACAGATCTATGTAGAAGAAATGCTTTTGATAGAGGTACCTTGGTTGGGGACATGAGCATATGCAGATGATGACGTGTTGGCTGAGAACCCAAATGATTTGCAGCAAATGTTAAATTGTATTATGCATTGTGGAATATGCATCAGAAATATAATAATGATAAACAGTATAATATTTGTACAAAGCTTTGTGCAAAGCTTTATTAGAGGCCACTGAAGCAATCAGTTTTGACATTTGATACAAAGAAAATGATAACATTGCGTTGATCCAAAGAGATTATTGTATGCTTATGTGGTGGCCCGCTGACATCTGTTGTTGTAACAAAAGTTGTACTTCACGAAGTCCGTATCTCCAATGGATTCTGAAAATTAATTTATCAAATACCAAGATAGTTATAGTTGCCTGGGAAAATGGGTTGAACAATTGTAAGTTATACATAAATGGTGAAAAACTACAGCAAGTAGATACATGTACGTACCTTAGTAAGACATGCAAAATGTTGGTGGAAAGTAGCTACAGATAGTCCTCACTTAATGACAGTAATTGGAACCAGAATTTCCATTGCTAAGCAACATGGTCGTAAAGTGTGATATCACGCAACTGCACCACTTAGCAACAGAAATTCAGGCACTTCCAGTTGCCTTCGTTAAGTGAATCACAGCAGGTCATTAAGCAAGGATGTCACATGGTTGCCATTTGCAACCTCCTGCCAGCTTCCCCATTGGCTTTGCTTGTAGGAAGCCAGCAAAGAAGGTTGCAAATAGCAATCACTTAATTGCAGGATGCTGCAACGTCATAATTGCAAGCTGGTCATCAAACACCCAGATCGTGATCATGTGACTGCAGAGACTCTGTGGCCATAATAATTATGAGGACTGGTCATGTTCTCATTTAGCACCTTCGTAAGTTCGAATGGTCACTGAACAAGTGGTTAAGCGAGGATCACCTGTATGAGAAAATAGCAGTAACTGTCTACAACTGATCATGATTAAAAGAAATACACATTTGGATTTTATCTCCTGTGGATGACACAAAGCAAAAACTTGTTTTCCATTAAAACGGACACATGGCAATAGGCAGCTTTACAAAAACAGTATAAGAAATGCAAAAGTATTTGAATAATCTATATATAACCCACAAAAACAGCATGTTTCAGAAGTGGGATATAATTCAAAATGGCATTTACATATTTAATATGACAATGTTACCAACTAATCTACTTATATTGTTACAATATTATTCCTAAAAGGAACCAATAATAGATAAAGCAAAATCACATGGGTTAACATATTCCCAAATTTCTTACATCATCAACCAAGAATACAGCCCATCCTTTCTGATAGATTTTTTGGAGCATCCAATAAACTCAAAATATTCTGATGAATTAATTTCAACCTTAAGTGCAAAGAACAAATTTAACGTTAAGTCTCGTATTCATTGCTGTTCCATTGAATATTACAACTCTTCTATAAATCATAAATGTAAGTAATTCCAATTTTAAAATTATTTTTAAGTTTCTGATAAAGATATGAAATCAATTTCACATAAATGAGAGCATCTCAGGTTACTTTGAAATGATTAGGGGATCTGATCTACATTGAACTATCAAATGATTGAGTCAATTATCAGTTATTGATAATGATTGATAATCATTGAGTGACTCAATGATTGAGTCAATTATCAATTATTGGCACTATTGTGTATTAGGGAAATAAATCTGAAGTCATTTACATTCCTTAAAGTAATCATTCAAAAGTAGTTGATTTAAAATTACCATTCCAGATTCTGCCCATATTTCCCAACAAAACATTTTACTACCTATTTTTAAAGTAAAAAAAGCTTTAAAGTAAAAAAAGTTTAAAGTTAAATAATTATGAAACTTTGCATTAAAATCTAATCTACATCTATATTTTTAGGGCCCAAGTATGTCTGCTCTCAAACCAGGAAATAAAAGACTCCTTTTGTTTTATCATCCAAGTAGTTGCCAAGATCTTAATGGAAATAAGTAATAACTTTCCAATTCAGCCACTAAAGGTTGGAATTCAGTTAAATTATCATTCCACATAATAGACAATAAAAGAAATAATGTTTCAAAGTTTGATAAATTAAAACCATCAATTTTCTCAGTTTAGAAAATTAAATTCTTGGTGGCCTAACTTCCCATATAAATAGAACTACTGTATCTATAGTTGCTAGATTGATGGCTCTAGCTTTAGGAATTGCTGTTTTGTGTTGATAAGGCTTTGGAATTTTTTGAACTGATCTCTGGCCATTGATACTCTTGCATTTTATCAGGGAATGAGATCCAGTTAACCACCAGGTGGAGCTAAAGCTACGGTTTTGTAAAAGGTGCATTATGTCTTATGACTTATTTTACTCTGCAATTATTGCTATCATGATCAAAGATAACTCTTTGTTTAGGTGAGTTTAGTTAACCAGTTGTGGTTTAGAATGCGTGATTACTCGTATGGGTGAGTGAGGATAGAGGAAACATTTTTATGGTGGTAATTCCCAGATTAACATTTGGTAAACAATGGATTGTCAACTTCAGATAATGTTACAGCCCTGATGTGCTGCGTTCTTTGTATCTCACAATAACATCTTAAAACGAATATTCATCTTGATAGCCAAGAACTTCCCTCCCCAAAGAATGATCAAATACCAGCACAAGAGCCTATTTGTAGCATTTCAGCTTGGTAATACATGCATCTTAGCTTTTGAAATGTGCTACCAGCAAGATTGGATTGAACCGGTTCTTCTCTTGTCTGGCACTATGAGGACATTTCTGCAGTAACTGCACTTTTGCACCACCCCCACATTGGTCATGGCTGCTGACCACAAGCAGTACTGCAATGGTTGTTGAGGGAGGTACTTCTTCCTGCTCTATTTTGTGCTTTTAAGAAATACGGGTTTTCTTCCCCTTTCGTGCCCTTGACAAGTGCAAAATATGGTAGGCGGTACATTAATGCCAGGGTGAATTGGGGCCTTGGTGTTCAGGGGAGTTAATATTCTTTGCAAAGAGGTAGGTCTTTTTCCTGCTTGTTTTGCAGTGACTGCATAAATTCCAGAGATAATTGATTATCTTTGAATAATCTCTAATTAATTGACTAGTGATTCCAATTTTTTTTTAAATTCCAAAAGACCCTCACACATTTGCGCTGGTGCAAAAAACACTCTCTCATTGTCAACCCTTCAAAGTTCAGGTCAGGAAACAGACTCCAGAAGTTGGACTGGAACTCTATTTTATGGAGATAAGCTGTAATGAGAGAATCCTGAAAGCTTCACTGTGTTTTCCCTTCCCTCCCCTCCCTCATATCTCATGGACTTAGACCAGAACCAGTTTGAGATTTATTTATTTTTGTCCTAGTTTCCTCATCTCTTTTTTTTTTTTTTTTTTTTACTGTCTCTGTATTGTGTCCCCAAGGTCATCTCTATGGATGTCTACAGTCATCCATCTTCTTTTTTCATACATACCGTGAATTGCAATGATGCATGATCAGGTGGTCATCAAAAGAAGAAAATGGCTGTGGCATATGCATAAAACAGCATTAAAGGATTGGCTGGGTTAAGGGATCAGTCTTAGCATTAATCAGCATAGGAGTTTGCGGGGGGGGGGGAGAACCCTGGAAATTATATTATAAATAAAACAAGAAGACGGGGGCTACAGCA